TCCACCCTTCCTGCCTTAAATATTTATCCCAGCAGCACAAAATGCTATGCCTTCTGCTTCATTAGTCAAGTGAATAGTGGGGCAGAGTTTATTACAGCCCAGCCTCCAACAGATTAATATGTTTGTTTTTCTGTACAGAAACTCCCCGCCGTGCACAAATAGGATGGTCTCTTGAGTTGAGAGTTGTAGCATCTCCTTGGTAGAGATAAATGAAACACTCATATAATTTATACATCTCTAGGGGTGAATAAGACTGTGTTGTGAAATATGTATTTGTGAAATGATATAAATAATAAATTGTTGTTATGTTCCATCAAGCCACCTCAGACTTATGGCAACCCATGAATGAATGAGCAATCTCCAAAATGTCCTTGTCGCCAACAGCCTGTTCAGCTCTTGTAAACTCAACCCTGTGGCTTCTTTTAGGGCTGTCCTTCCCAATGTGAGAGTCGTGACCCCCAAGGGAAATCGCAAAGTATTTTCTTGGAGGTCACCTTATACAGTGGTGCCTCGCTTAACAATTGCCTCATTAAACAATGAAACCGCTTGACGATGAAGTTTTTGCGATCCCATATTTGGCCTTCCTCTTTTCCTGCTGCCTTCAAGTTTTCTAAGCATCATTGTCTTTTCCAGAGAACCTTGCTTTCTCATTATAGTGTCCCAAAGTAGAACAGTGTCAGTGTCAGTTTTGTCAATTTTGCTTCCAGAGATAGCTTAGGCTTGATTTGATCTAGGAACCACTTGTTCATCTTTCTGGAAGTCCAGGGTATCTGCAAAGATCTCCTCTAGCAGCACATTTTATAAATAATAAGTTAAAATAAATTAAAATAACATAAAATAGATATTTCTTACAAAAGATATAAAGAAATCTTAGAAACAATAAGGCAAACAAGGTGATTTACCATTATGGAACTACTGCAAAATAGAATTCCTCATTTTTGCTTTTTTTGTCAAAGGAATAAAATAGGTTATCGTATGACAATGGTTTTAACACAAGGTCCGTGGGACAATGTGTGTCTTGTAACGCTCGGCCCCATACAGTAAATAGACCCAGTCCCATACAGGAAATGCTATGCTTTGTCCCTTTTCCCTTCACAGTAGAGGTTTCAACAATCCTGAGGACTGGAGAGGGCATTGAAGCTGTACGATGAACAGGCAACCTTTGAGAGCCAACCATCAAAACCCTATTCAGGCATGCTTCTCTGAGATCATTAAACACATGAGGAGGGTAATGTTCTGGTCCTACCTCACCTCCATTATCACTTGACACTCATAGCAAGAGTCCAGCCAGAAGCAAAAAGCATCCTGTAGGTAGGGTCATGATACATTAGAACCAGAACTTCAGGAACTCAGGGTCTTGTTTTGCGACAATGCTCTCCACTTCATCTTTGTCACTCAGACACAAGGGGGGAGCTGTGTCTAGATGACCGTCCCTTACATTTTTACGTTTGTCAGGTAAGAACATCTGACTAGGGCTCTTATTTTCCTTAAGTGTCTGACCAACCGTATCTAACTGGCACCGATCTCTGTATCAGCCTGATCCTTACACTGTGACACACTATAAAAACAACACAATAACATCAATATCTTATTCAAAATGGAGATATATTTAGATATAGTATAGTTATATCTATACTATATATAGTATTTTAATTGTATTTTAATTGTTTTATCTTTTGTTGTATTTTATTTGCTGTAGGTTGCCCAGAGACCTTTGGGTAGAGTTGGTAGCATATAACTTAAATAAATAAATAAATAAATATACTATATAGATATACTATATTTTAAGTATATCGTAAATTTTATTAAAGGCTGTTGGATATGCATTTCTACTTCACATTGCTATCACTCTTGTTAACTGTGAGAAAATGGGAGGGTACACTGTCAAACATATCTATATCAAGGCAGAAGATGGCTGAATTTCTGGTTGCTATTAATATGTACAGAAACTCACCAATCCACTCACCCTTAAGTAACACAAGTATATCCACACATATATTATCTTAAAATAAACCCAGGCTTCTCACACCACCATTCCCATCTCCATTTTGTAGATATTTTCTGTCTTATGTACATTTAGATTCAATATTAAGCCACTCCTTGTCTCAAGAGAAATAAGATGTTCTTTCCCTTAATAAAAATAAATGCAAGAAAGCGAGGGATGCCATAATACTAGTTTAAAAACAACTCCTCCTCTGAAACATCCGTGCAGATGTCCTAGTGAACTCTAACACTCACAGACCCTTTGCTTATTAGTAAAATAGGTATGTCATGTGTGAATACAATCAGTGTCAAACAGGCCCAATGGGTTGTCAAAGTGACATCCCTAAAGTATTCAGGGTAGTCTTCGTTTTATGAACAAAATAATTATACAACTTGGACACAAAAAAGCCAAAACCAGCAGCAGCCATCAGGGTGGATCTGATTTAGATCAAATTTTAAAAAAAAAGATTAAAAAAATTAAATTGTGATTTGAATCAATTTGATTTTTAGTCACCCTGGGGGCCATAGACTATACATGTATGCCGGTTCAAAAAAAGATTAAAAAATTAAATTGTGATTTGAATCAATTTGATTTTTAGTCACCCTGGGGGCCATAGACTATACAGTACATGTATGCCGGGTTTTGGATGCCTCTGAAGCCAGTTTAGAGATGGTAAAATCTGGCGCTTCACACAAGGAAATTGACGTTCTGTCTCATATAGAAAGAGCTCATGATGTATACATGTGTCTGCCCTCTTCAGATATATTGCTTTTGTGTGATAAAAGAAAAAGCGAGGCAGGACTTTTCTTTCAGCAAAATGAATGTACTTCAGTTGCATAGGTTGCAAAACTTCACAGTTTACCGTATTTTTCGCTCCATAAGACGCACCTTTCCATAAGACGCACCAATTTTTAAGGAGAAGAAAACAGGAAAATATAATCTGTTTTCTTCACTCCATAAGACGCACAGACTTTCCACCCCCCTGTTTTGTGGGAAAAAAGTGAGTCTTATGGTGCAAAAAATACAGTATCATGCAATCCTGTCTTGTATCAGTAGATCCTTGACCTTTCTGTCTGCAAAACTTCACAGTTTATCATGCAATCCTGCCTTGTATCAGTAGATCCTTGACCTTTCTGTAATCTTCTTAAGAATTTAATTTAATTTAACCTGGCAGATAAATAAATAAAAAGTATATCGACTGACAAAACAATCACTAGCTCCCTTACATTTCCCTCTCTGTTACACGATGGCTAAAACAGTTGTCTTGACAATCTGCTCACCTGGAAAGCACTTGATATACCCAGCTAACTGCAAGGCTGTTCTCGTCAGATTTTTAGATTTTAACCTACACAGAAAGGCACGATGAACTGTTTAACACACACCTGTCTGGACAAGCTGATGTTTCTATCTTAGTGTCCCTGCCCATTTCAGTCAATGACCACGGCCTGCCTATGCAATATGCTATTTGCTCAAAGAGGTGCCTCCAGCTTCCGTAATGAATTCATTGTACTATGAGCTTCCTGTGAGCAGGAGAAGCCCTAGCCAATACCAGTTTTATCACCTAAATGGCACAATAATGTCACACACTGCAAAACATGAAAAGAAGTGACTCCCTAGAGCAGAGAGGGCTGTGCAATAACTGCTGGCTTTGAAACAGGCATGCAGATGTCAAGCCTCTCCCTAACAGATGACACACACGGTACAACTCACAGAGCAACCCAGGGCACTATAAGCAAGGAACTGCAGGAACCTGGGTGTACTATGGACAAGAAGCATTCTGGAGCAGAGTCACTCCTGTTTACAGCAACAGCACACACAACTCATGAACCCAAGCAGAACTGCCATGTTTATGTGCTTCTGTCTCAATGAACTAGAAAAGGAATCCATTGTTTGTTTAAGACAGGGGTTCTGGGTTTTTCACACTGCAGCCTATGACTACGTAGAGACATGGCTTGACAACTTCCCGTTCACTGCTGATAAATGAAGAGATTAGACGTTTCCGTTCCAGGTTGGTCATAAACTATTTTGCCAGCTGACAAAGCTAGCATTCTGTAGTTGGTAGAAAGCACCTTTTTGTTTGCTTATTTATTGAAAACATTTTTACTCCACCTTCTCCTTAAAAGGATCCAAGGCAGCTTACATGATTAAAAGGACAATGTTTAAAAGATTAAAAACAGTAAATACACAATTATTAATAAAGAAAACCACAGCAATCAATATCACAAATAGGCTTGTCCTCCTTGCAGAGTGTGTTTAGGCACACTATAATTTTCCTGGTTTGAACAAAATGACAAACAGAAGTTTATCACAAAATATGAAAATGAAACATCTAAACCACTCTCCTTACTACAGGAAAAAAGAAAATGCAGTGGCTCAGAGTCAGGGTGTCCTCCTGTTTTCTCCAGAGAACTCATTCTTCTTTCCCCAACCATTTTACCCCCAGAACACGTGAGATGCATTAACTGAGAGATAATGCCTAGCCCAAGATCTCACATGGAGCTTCATGGTTGAGTTGGGATGTGAACCTGGATCCATCTCCATTCACAGTTGGATAATTTAATCATACTGCAGAGCAGGATGAGAGGAGTTCAGTATGGACATAGAAACGGCAAATAAAATTTCCTCACAATTGAGCTATTTCCACACACTGAAAAACCGTAAGATGCATCTTCTCCAAGGCAAAGCTGGAAAACACCAGAACACCCCAAATACACCATCGCTGTATTGGGGCTCTCACTTTGCATTTAACAGGAAAACCTTGGCACTTTCCTCTGTCGTGCCAGATGCTGTTGACTGCAGGAGACTGGCCTAAAGTCAGGACTACAGGCTAAATCCAAATGAACCAATTGTTTTCTTTCTCCTGGCTCTGTACCCAACCCAAAGGTTCAACAAAGTAAAACAAGAATACATGGCTTATTATTATTTGTGAGAGGGGGGAAACACTTCTGTGCTACACCATTATCATTGCCGACATGGTTTTTTTTTGCTCATAATGTATACGTTAAATAACACTTACTTTGTAATGCGGTCAATGTTAGCAATTTGCTTCTGATTTCGGATGATCTCTATAGCCGCCCAAAGATGCTGGATAGCTTTCGTATCTGCCTGCCGCCGTTTTGTTAAGCGTGCCATGACCTCTTTACCTGTTTAGCTGCAGCAGAGAAATAACAATCATTAATTATAAAATGGATATTATGATTACTATCTTGCACCTGCCACAAATGAGAGTACACTGGAAAGTGTATCAACTATAGCAAACTGATTTATACATCATTGTTAAAGCCCTAAGAAACAGCACTTGTGTGGATACGTACTTTGCTATATAAGCAGCCAACTGCTGCATACAGAGGGACCTCTTTATTCCTCATAGTCTCTACGCTATTTTTGCCACATGAACTGACCCTTCTCAGAAACAGTTGAGCCCATAATAAAGCTGGCGCCATCTAGCATTTAGCAATGCAAGGTTAAAGAGCTGAAACATGCAACAACATACAAATGTGTACAAAATGCAATCTAATAAAGCACAGAATATCTGTATTCCTTACATTACAAGAGAAAATGCAGGGAATCTTTTTCTCATATTGTGACTTGACGTTTAATGGGGAAACAGGGGTCAGGCAAAATTCGATTCTTGAAGTTTTCTCCAAAGTGGAAAAAAACTGAATGCATTCTATAGGCTGCCAGATGTTTTACTAAACCCTCTCTTTCTTTACATAACAGTTTCACCAAAATCATCAGTCAGCAAGTGAATATTTTGAAACAGCCATAGTAAAATAAGGAAACCTGAGTATTATATTGCAGAGAAATCAGGATTTCCCACAGTCTGTTTCCGTGCCTCATTCAAAAGAAGAAATAACTGTTTCATCATCCATAACAGAAGCAGCCGGGAGCTTGCTACATTACAGGCAACCACGCAGCACTTACACACCAACATTAGAGGAAGGAAACAGTTCCTAGAGGGGGAAATGCAATGCCAAAAGAATGTGAGGGGCACCAAAAACACAACAACCCTGTCCCCAAAGGTCTATGGCTTAGACACAAAGAATCCATAGAAGTAGACGTTTATGCCTGTTTTATAAGGACTAACAAGTAGGTACCCAATGTAGTGTATTGGATAGACTTGATGACTCAGGAGACCTGGGTTCAGTTCCCGCTTAGCTATGGAAACTCACAGGATGGTACCTCACTGGTAAAACCACTTAAATATTTCACTTACCTTGAAAACTCTGTTAAGGTCACTAGAAGTTGGATGTGACTTCGTGGCACATAACATAACAAAAAGATGTCCACAACAACATTCCATACCTTGGTCATTCTCCTGAAACTGTTCAGTGGGTCTTTAATGTGACCTAGTAACTACCCTCAGCAACTTAGTACCAGCTACTACCCAACATTGTACAGCCTTGATTTAAACAGTCTTCTAGAGACGAAGATGGGAGTTCTTCACTCCCTGTTTTAAATTCTCAGAGTCTGAACAGCTGGCAGGAAAAGAGTGGCATTGACATCTTCCAGTCATTGGCTGACCCGAAGCAAAAATTAAGAAGCAGAAAAATCACCACTACTCCCCCACGTGTTGCTTCCTTGCCAGTTCCTACTATCTTTCAAAATAATCTGTAAGCATTTCCTCTAGCAGCAGCGGTAAGAAAATTCCCTCATACAGGAACCTAATTCTTGATCAACTCAGATTTTCTCATTCTGGTCCCACCAAAATACTACCGTACGTTTTCCTCAAACCTAGCAGAAGCCAAGATAAGTACCGTATTTTTCGCACCATAAGACACCCTTTTTCCCCACAAAACAGGGGGGAGGAAGTTTGTGCGTCTTATGGAGCAAAGAAAACATTATATTTTCCTATTTTCTTCTCCTAAAAAATTGGTGCGTCTTATGGAAAGGTGGGTCTTATGGAGTGAAAAATACGGGTACTTGCCATTAGAATGGCATTCACAATGTCTCTCATTTGCGCTATTTAAACTAGCTCTTCCATTCATCCAAAACCATCTACAGGTAGAAATCCAAATTAGACAAAGTAATAAACTCAGGATGGGATTTTTGTGTGTTTTCTTTTGTATTCCCAATATATATAGCAGCAGGAAAAAAACTGAAACCAGTAAGAAAATAGTATAGTTAAAAGGAATGTCTTGGTTGGCCCTCAATTCTATAGAACTTCAGAGTGCTTTATAAAGGCCATTGTGGTCCAGTAGCTTGAGAGTAAGTAGAGTTACCTCCAAGTCATCTCCTTGAGGAAGAAGAGATTGAAGGAGTTGTTTCTCAGTTCTAACTGGCCACAATTTAGAATTACATACAAAACTCTAAAGCTTTGTATCAACTGGTTAGTATCAACTGTTTACTGAAATAAGCTGACTTCAAACCAGTTTGAAGCTAAAGTGGAATTAATAAACAAAAGCTAGTTTAACTCATTAATGCAGCCAAGCTTGGGGAGGAGAGGGAAGGCTGGAACACATGAGCCCATGATTTAAGCATTAATGTAATAGTTAAAGCATAGAATATTGTCATGTTTTAATGCAATCAGAATGGGGAATCAGATGGAGAACACCTGCATTTGACTCCCAAGACAACATATACACTACCTGGAACATAGTTACATTATTGATAAGGAATAATGATATTGACGACAACACAATGTCTACTTTAAATATGTAACTCTCTCTCTCTCTCTCTCTCTCACACACACACACACACACACACACACACACACACACACACACACACACACACACACACTTTTGCATTCCTCTCCTTGCCCCAAAAAACCTCAGAAATTGTACAAATGATTTAATAGAGCCCTATCATTTTCAGCTAGTTGTCCATTTCTACCCATGCCCAGGTGCTATGCAGCCATTTGCCTATCCAACTAACAAGGAGCAAAATCATAACGAGCAGCTGGCATTGTTTATAAAAATTTCCAGAAGCAGCAGGCAAAAGCAACAGATATGCTATCAAGCGACTATGATGTCGTTACAGGCCAGAATCCCCCCTTTTAAAAAGATTAACATTGCATTTTGATCACTACATAACTTTCTTATCATGCTACCGCTTTCATAGTAAGAAGCAGTTGATCAACAGCCTTAACATATACTGCATGTAATTTAGATGAGGCTTAGAAAATGAATCCCCTCCCCTGATGTAATAGTGCTCATATAAAATGAGAGGATTATTTAAAAAAAAATAATAACAATTCCACAGTATGAATACAGCCTATCCTTATTTCAATGAGCTGCAACACAGAGAATATCAACTGATAGAAACTGGACAGGAGTCATATTTCCACATAATCAGAAATCATGAGTTCTCCGGTTTCACAGTAAAAAACGCAAAGCAAACGATCCAATCACTCCTTTTGCATGAACAAGTAAAGATAAGCAAAAAACAACTGCCTATTTGGAACCTGGGTTCGGGCATTGTTGCTGACCTACTATCCTGGCTTCTTTGGAAACAATAAACCAAGATCCAAGATTTGAATGTCACAATAAGCTACCTTTGTACTAGAGGCCTGAGTGCACTTTTTAAAAAACAAACCCCATGCCTATATGTGAGGAGGATGACCACAGCACCGGTGTCCTGGTGGGTAGGTGGTCTCACCTTCTCCCTGACGCTGAGGACCTGGTGACAAGCAGCTCCCTGATAGACCGGAGCGACTCACTCTGGGCCAAATGAGTGCCAGATGGACCTAGGGACAGAGAACCCAGGTCTGGGAGTCTGGAACCCAGACAGAGATCCCAAGAGAGCAGGCACTACCAGGGAATTCGGGTGAGAAAGAGTGCCTCCTAGAGGAGGAGGAGGAGAAGGAAGTTCCCTGGTAGCTGGGGGATATAAGAGAGGCTTTAGAGAAAGAGGGGAAGAGACTAGCCAAGGAACAGAATCTGTTCCTGATACGTTTGTGGAAGAGGTGGAAGAAGAAGGGGCCTAGGGAGATAGATTAAAAGATGTTCAGGTGGGTTAGCACCCTTCTGAAGAACTATAGTCCCTGGGCAACTGGAAGTACATAAAGAAGACCCCCAGGATCAGGGTCTTAGTACAGTTTACAATACCAAATGTCAAAGCAGAAAGACACTGTAACCCTCAACCCCCTTTGTGGCCCAGCTACTGGGGAGAATATTGAGACCTGAGACAACAACAATACAAGGCTCAGCCCAGGGAACCCACAGCCCACAGCCGCGCAGTTGTGGCAGCTGGAAAAAGCAGAGGCAGCAGGAGGCCCAGTGCCTAACCAAAGAAGAACAGTGTGCGGGCAGATCTGAGAGTGTCACCGTTCCATAGGGGTAATTAGACCTTGTGAAAGACCTATGGGAAGTGAAGGAAACTGTCCAAAAGTCACATTTTTATTGACTTATTTATTTCTGCCATTAGAATTACATTTCCCCAGTCCTGTCACATTTCTTCACGTTTCCTCTAGAAATTATTCAGTTTGCTGAAGCAAAAACAACAAAAAGCTTTGTGGCAGCTTAACGATTTAAACTTAATTCGATATAAGGTTTGCGGACTGCCACCCACATCTGAAGAACTGAACTGCAGTCGTCAAAACCTTAGCCAGATAAAAACTTTGTCACTAAAGTTCCACAAGAATTTTCAACCGTAAGCTGCACTCTCCTGAAAATATTTCTGCCATGTTTTAAGTCATTACTGCACATGTTTTAAACCATTACTGTACCCATTCTCCTATCCAAAAGCTTTTACAATAAAGAATAAACCTTTATTATATTCTGAGAAATTTCTGGTGTAGACATGATACCAATTTCATTTTACTATGATAGAAGTCACCAGTTTTGACTGCTGGATATTGGCCGCACATACACATTTCTAGTAAAAGATGACCAACATCTATTTAGTCTATATTTAAAGTACTGGCAAATCTTCAGACGAGAGAACGATAAAGAATTCAAGATGAACAGTAATATTTAAGGAAAAAATTGGCATGTGGCTGCCAAACTCCCTCTGTTTCTACTGGAAACAGCCCTTTGATTTTGGAATAAAGGGAATGATGACACTAATAGCTTGCTTTTGAAGGAAGGCCGACTTACATGCCCATACTATGCAAGTTTACTGTGTTCAACTGGTCCTTCTTCCAAGTAAAATCTGTAAACAATTACAGCCAAATGGCTGATTCTGTTGTAATAATTTCCTCTGAGGAGA